CACTGCTTTCTGCCTTCAGCTTTGCTGCATATTTTCTTGACCAATATCAACTCAAATTTTTGAAATATTGGGCTGCACATGCATTACACAAAGGCACAAACAGGACATGTGGTCATTTATAACCAAGTTTTCATGGCAGGGAAAAGCCTCAGAGGCCAATTCTGAATATGGAAGTGTTTCACAATGCTCTGTGGACAATTCCCCAGCACTGCTCCATCCTTCCAGTGCTGCAGGAAATGTGAGGTGACCACTGCTGCCCCCAGTGACAGCTGCCTCAGCAAGGCAGTGGATTTATCAGTGCTCACTCACAGAAAAATCACAAATAACACCTGCACTCCAAGGTACTTATTGCTTTATTGCCAGTTAAAATAGTGGTTTTTCCATTAACCTGGTATCAAACACCATCAGAATACAAAACCTGCCTGGAAGAAGTTATTCTTCCACAGGTAACAAAACCAAAATAAAGATAAATAAGGAGCTATTTTCTGACTGCAACAGATTCTCCTTTTCCTACCCCTCTTTGCAATCACCTCACCAGTCCCTGGCACAATTTGTGATGAGCTTTGCAAATCACTAAGAATTGCTGTCCTTTGCATGGCTGGTGCTTCCTGCAGCTGCTAATGCTGCCTCCATTTGTTCCTCACCAGGACTGACAGCTACTTCTGTGGATTTTTAAAAAATTATTCTCAGCTTTCAGCTGATATTGATTTAACTTCAAGATGTGCTGCAGTTTTTTTACTGATTGGAGCAAAACTGGAAGCTGGAATTGGCAATTATCATGATCTAGACTGAACCTGGAGGATGTGGATTGAATACAGAGGAAGATGAGAGTGTCTGTATGGGGGGTGTTCCCAAATATCTCCTACCTTCAAATCAAATATTTTACACTTCCAGAAACACTAAGTGAGAACACACTATGTTTGAGATTAAAGAGTCACACTGCACTCTCCAATGTACAGAATTCATTTTGCCCCACAGATTAGTTTCTCCCAGGAACACACAGAAGTGATTGTGACCTTTCCTTCTGCCTTTGTATGATAAATTACTTGTATGAAGAACAAATTCCCTTGTAAGTTGAAAATAAGTGCAGCAAAGCTGACCTTCAAGAAATGCACATGCAAATAAAGAACACAGAAGCAGAACTGGGATTTCATTCCAACAGCAGTTTCATCCACACTTTATGATCAAGTGAAGTCTGGGACATGCCTAATATTGCCAGACCCCAAATTCACACAAGACTCTGCAAAAGAATGAAATTTTAAAATATGAAACTTTAAACACTGACAAGTTTAGCAGCAGAAGAAAGAATACCAATTTTGGGATTGAAAAAGGAAAGCCTTGATGCTTGCCATTTATTCTTATTCCTCCTTATGTCTTGCAGATTATTAAAACATGTCTCAGACCAGCAAGAAGAGTTAACATGGAAAGGGCTTTGTTTTGAAGGGCCTCATTTTCAAAATGTTGCTCTGTTTCTTACAGTCTCTCAAACAGAGGCAATCCTGGTGCAAAGGGGTGGAAAAATCCCAGTATGAAATTTTGGAACAGAATTTCCATGTATATTTAAAAGGAACAGATTCTACTTTAGATCTGTTTCTTTGTCACAAAAAAAAATTATTTTCAAAGTTGTATATCCCTTGGCACTAAGAATTTTCTTCCTCATGGTACAGTGAGTTTCTTGTGGCAGAGAGAGGTCCTGAGTGATGTCAAAAGACAAATATTCACTTCTTAAACCCATCAGAGCACAAGAAAGATGTGTTCCTTCATGCCATGTCTGGTTATGAATTAGCCAAAGGTCTGTACACTTGAACTGGTGCTGACTTGTTCATTTCTTTAAAAAAAATAATCTAAAGAGCCTCAATGTTCATAAATCACAATTCCTTATTAAATGTTCACTAACAACCAAACTAGGGGATGTTAAAGATCATCCTATAAATTAGAGAGTTGTTCAGTCAACCATGTGAGAGTCAGGACTGGGAGACTTCCTGGGCAATCTGCAATGATAAGCACTGAGGGAAGTGCAAAGCATTTTGATTTAGGCTCCACTCCTGGCAGAAGAGCTCTCCCTGTGCCCAGCTGACACTGATCCTCACCAGAGCAGTGCTGCAAATGCATCTGCAGCAGCACTGGCACTTGCCCAGGCAGCACTTTCCATCACAGGACATCCCACAATGGTTTAATTGCTTTTTCTTGGATTTCCAACTGCTGCTTTTCTGCTCTGCTGCATCACTAACAATGCCTTTCTGCTCCCCACTGACACTTCAACAAATTGCTGCTCACAGGAAAAGAAACCTGCTTATTTTGGCACTCAGAATCAGGTCCCCAGAAATACAGGCTAAGTGTGAGGCAAGTACCAGGTTTTAGGAGTGCAGTGGCATTAGCAATACAGAAAAGTAAATAAGCTATCAAGCATGAAAACTGAACCAGTGATTATGACAGTCATCCCCAGAAAAGCCTGGAGCTCCTAAATGAGAAGCATGAAAGCTCATCAACATGTGGTTTTAAAAGTGCAGTTGGAGTGGCAAGAGAAGCACAAAGGATCAAAAGAAGTGTAAAACAAAACAAACAAAGAAAAGCCAAAAAGACAGAAGGAGAGAAAAAACATTGCACAGGAACATTATGAACATAAAAAATACATCAACTTGTACCAGCAACAGAAAACAGCCTGGGGTCATTCCTTCACAAAACACATTTTATCAGCAAGAGGAAAAATAAGTGCAAATGCCTTCACATTGTGCTTCACCTCTCAAGCTCTTCTGCTCTGCTCACAAGATATCAGTGGGGACTGTGCACCAGAGGCTGTGACACAACCAGAGGAGCCCTGACAACTGTGGTAACAGAGATGTGTTAGAACTAAGTGTAATTAATTTTCTCCTGTGTCCAGGAAGGACATTTGTGCTGCTCCTGGTGCATTGTTTTGTTCCAGAAGGGCACACACTGCCCTCACACCCCCCTGGCAAAGGGACAGCCAAAAAGAAAATTCTGGATTTCATCAGCTTCCCCTTCTTCCCCCAAAACAACATCAAGAGCAAAGACCTTGCAGCAGAAAAGCTGAAAATGAATAGATGGGGCTGAATGGAAGCAATTTCACAGTTAGAGACTTTTGGAAATTAAGGCAGGGGCATGTTCCACACTGCAGCCAGGCTGAGTGAGACAGCTCCCCTCACACACCTAGAATTCAGCTGTGATTTCTACAGCTATAAAGATCTGGTAATCTTAGAATTGCATCTGAAAAATAGTTTTAATGTGTTCCCTTTCAAAATACTGGCAGCAGCATTTTCAAAAGATGAAGCATTCAATTCAGGAATAACTTCCAATCATCAAAGACAAAGTAATCAAACATACAGTTCTTGATAGCAAAGCCAGGTAATCTCAAAGTTTATCTAAAGCAGCATCACTGCAGGTGAGTGGATCACTGTGATAGCAAAGCCAGGTAATCTCAGAGTTTATGTAAAGCAGCATCACTGCAGGTGAGTGGATCACTGTGATAGCAAAGCCAGGTAATCTCAGAGTTTATCTAAAGCAGCATCACTGCAGGTGAGTGGATCACTGTGATAGCAAAGCCAGGTAATCTCAGAGTTCATCTAAAGCAGCATCACTGCAGGTGAGTGGATCACTGTGACAGCAAAGCCAGGTAATCTCAAAGTTTATCTAAAGCAGCATCACTGCAGGTGAGTGGATCACTGTGACAGCAAAGCCAGGTAATCTCAGAGTTCATCTAAAGCAGCATCAGTGCAGGTGAGTGGATCACTGTGATAGCAAAGCCAGGTAATCTCAGAGTTCATCTAAAGCAGCATCAGTGCAGGTGAGTGGATCACTGTGATAGCAAAGCCAGGTAATCTCAGAGTTCATCTAAAGCAGCATCAGTGCAGGTGAGTGGATCACTGTGACCCAGAATTCAAAGAACACCCATCCCAATCTACAGGCAGCAATAGTCTGAAGTCATTTCTGCTTGGGGTAACAACTGTCAGCAGACAATTACTGAGGCTCTTTAAATGAGCAAATTTCCATCTTTTCTGTCTTGGAAAAAAAAAGACAGAGCACAGCAGGAATATAAAGTTGCCCATTTTTTCTTTTTCCCTGCAGCAGTGTGGCTGATCTTGCATTATGAAAGGTAACACTGCTGGAAGCTCAGCACTCACCTGCCAGACAGATGAGTTGAGGCTGAGCTCCTCTCTAGGCAGCCCCAGAGTAATTCCAGTTTCAAATTATCCACATATTAAAAAAATCTCGAACCAGCCTTAAAGGTTTTTTATTTATTTATAACTGACAGCCATCAGAAGGCTCATCCCTGTCAGACCTCCTGGAAGCAGGGATGGATTTTTAGCCAGGTAATCCTGGTTCACCATGCTCCAGAGCAGAGCTGTGGCAATCCATCACCTTCACACCCACCTCAGCCATTACAGGGTATTAAGTCCCACCTTGAGCAGCAAAGGAATTTCAGGCCAGTGTAAAATAAATTGCTTTAATTTGGATTTGCTGCAGTGACAGCTCTGCTCTTGCTGCCCAGTTGTCAGACTAAGCTCATTCTGACTCAGAGATGGGGGAGCTGAGAGGTGTTTTGAACCTTTTATTCCATTTTCATTCTCATGAGAAGGGAGAGACAATGCAGATGTTATAATTCACACTATCACAATCAGAAGCAAACTATTTCCTAATTATAATATACTTCAAGTGTTTCTTGGCCTATCACCTTTAGCTACACTAGGCTGTGAATGTCTTAAGGCTAATCATCTAAAATTATTACTATTATTACTATTTCCCCCCTGCTAAGCTGTCAGAGCTGGCCACCTCTTCTAAGCCCTACATCTTCCCAGGAAGTCTCTTCTTGTGGTTTAACACCACACATTACAAACTGTGGCTGCATTTTAACCTGTTCCAATCTTCACTTTTGATCTCATCAACCTGAACACAGCATGCTACACTACCCCACATTATTCCTGCTGCCACAAACCCCAGAGAAGTCAGTAAATGGCAGAATCTGCAGCCAGCCTGGCTCGTACCTGCTCGGGGCTCCACGGTCTTGTTGGAATCTGCATCCATGAACACGAAGCGTCCACCCCCAAAGTCCTTGGAGTAGTCAGAGAGATAGAGCAGAGAAGTGTAGTCAAAAGAGCCGTAAGTCACCTGTGGGAGAAGCCAAAATTACCAAAATTTACCAAATTCTTGATCTTATCTCTGCAGAGCACAGCTAATTGAGCAGGTGGATCTGGTGGGTTTTGCTGATTTTCAGTTTTTTTCATGTATTTAATAAAGGGGTCTTTGAAAACCATTTTCCAAGAACCAACACCACCATTTTCTAGGAATTGTCTGTGTTTATTAGTCTATTCTCTTGTCACACTACAAGACTAGCATGCCATGTTTATTAGTTCTATTGCTAGTTTCCATCATTAGAGAAGTGATTGATTGATTGATTGATTTCTATCATCCAAGAGCAAAAAACAAGGCAGTGTCAGAAGTGCATTGTATCAAAAAGAGAGGATTTCTACTATTCCAAGATAAAATTTCACCAGGAGGTTAATAAGCAGAAGAACAGCCCTCGATTAATGATTTCCACCCATGATTAATCTTGGGTATAAAGTTTCTGGATACCTCACTGCTATTCTTTCACCACAACCACACAGGAGATTCATGGTAATAGTAAATCAGAACTTCCAAGTAAATACACATTTGTTGGAGGAGCTTCTACTCTTTTCCATGCAGGTTTTGTTTAAAACCTGTTGCATTTTCTGAGACCCCTCAGAAGGAGGAATGATGCATCTGACTCCATTGATATCAGAAGGCTAATTTATTATTTTATCATCTGTATTATATAAAAGAATACTATACTAAACTATACTAAAGAATACAGAAAGGATACAGACAGAAGGCTAAAAGATAATAATGAAAAACTCATGACTCTTTCCAGGGTCCCAATACAGCTGCCTGTGATTGGCCAATAAATAAAAACAATTCACATGAAACCAATGAAACAAGCATCTGTTGGAAAACAATGTCCAAACCACATTCCAAAGCAGCAAAACACAGGAGAAGCAAACCAGATAATTATTGTTTTCCTCTTTCTCTGAGGCTTCTCAGCTTCCCAGGAGAGAAATCCTGGTGAAGGGATTTTTCCAGAAAATGTGACAGTGACAAAAACCCTTCAACCTGAACTTTGGAAGTCTCTGCTTCTTCTCAGCCTACAGACCAAACATCCCACTTTTAAGTACAGCAAGGTGACTTCTTCCTTCCTTTTAAAGCATTATTTTTGGTTGATAGGTACACTGAAGTTGGAGGAAATAAATACTACATACTAATACTGAGAGTGAAGCTATCTAAATATTTAACATTGACTTGAGCTGATTCTGGAAATATTTCCTTTCATATCTACATGTCACCAGCAATGAAAAAAATACTTGAAATCAATGGCTGAGTTCTCCAATTTCTTTGTGTATCTCAGCTCAAAAGTTCAGCATTACACTGTCAAGCAGTGAAATGTGCAGCACAGCAGTACTGTATAAATACACAGAATTTGCAGAGTGTTTTGACTGACCTGGTGACTGTTAGAGGTAGGTGCTACTTCCAAACTTAGAAGTTTTCTAAATATTTTCAGTCATGTTTCAAGTTATATTCATTAGTGCCAGTTAAATTTTGGCTCAGGAGCAGTTGTACACATTTTTTCTGTAAGGGCAGGACCAGAGAGAACATAACAGCAGATGGAATAGGAAGACATTTCCATTCATACTCATGTTATTATTTTGACCATAAGGGCTCAGAGGAAAAAAGCCAAACCAGAGAAATGAAAGAAATATTGAAAAATGAAAGCAAGTGATCCCCTTCTCCCCATATTTTTCCAGACCCTGGTAGGAATACAAGGCAATAAATGGGAATTAATGAGCAAGTGCTAGTGCAGCACCTCAAAGCAGCCACTCTAGAGCCTTTCTCATGCAAATCAGCTTTGCAGAGCCATTTTCCACTTCACTGACCTGCTGATAAAAACTTCCAATGGATTTAAGGAAGGCTCCAGCCAGTGCAGAAGTTCACTCAACTCACTGTTCCAAGTTTAATGCATTAGAACTGTTTTTATCAACTCTTCAGAGGAGCAGCAATCTTTGCTCCCCCAGTGCACTCTCCCTCTTCTCCAAGGTGGTTTTACCAATTCTAAACTTCTAAGAACTGACTACCAACCATTTCAGCCTAACCAAACACACCTGACTGCTAGAGGTGACTAATTTGGGGAACAAAGTGTGCAAGAGAAAATGGCTTTGCTCCTTCTGTCCTTATTCATTACTCACTCCCAGAAAGCAACCAGGCCTGAGAAATGCAACACTATAGAAAGCAAGCATTAAATTAAACTCAGTTATTTATAATGCTACAAGTCCCTCCACGTAAATCAAATATATTTGTTACCCTGGCAATGATTTCCAGTACCAGACAGATTAATAATTGAACCAAAAGATCAAACTATATGAGAGAAGCTGTCACTAAAAGCCACACAGCTCCAAATCAAATTTCTACAGCTCCTTGTAAACAACTCAGGAGAAAAAAATGCAGATATTTCCACTCAGCCTGCTAGGTCATATGGTTAGTGTGCTCTTTTTGAACATTCCTTACCCAAAGAGTCAAACACAGATAATATTTAATGGTAGATGCTTATAATGATGTTTACATGACACTTCTCTAAAAGCTATTATTATAAATAGAACCAATTACCAGAATTAGCCAGCCCCATTTTGCAGTGGGTTTTTTTGAGGGACACATTTCTATGCAACTAAACACTTGTAGGACCATAAGAGGTCTGCAGCTACTGAGGATATTTAGGACAGCATCCTCTGCTCTCCAGCGCAGAAGAAAATTCACTTTGCAATCAGCATTGGTCTAGCACGCAGAAAAAGAGTCAAAACTTCTCTTTTCCTGTAAGCTTTCACCTAAATCTGTGTAGATGAGCCCCAGAATAGCCTTGATGGCACTTCCAGTGTGCTGTTTATTGGCAGTGTCTGTTAGACAATAAAAGAGCAAAGAGCACAGCTCCGAATTGCAAGGGGCTGTAGGTGAGCTGAGGTGATGGCTTTGAGTAGAAATGAGAATCAACCTCCTCAGCTTTCAGAGATGATGCTCTCCCGAGGCAGAAATGGGATCTTTTGATGTGGTTTATTAAATGTAGGGGAAGAAAAGAAGAGTGGAAAGTCTGCTGGAAGAGCCAGCAGCTGCTCTCAGTGCCAGAGAGGGCTGCAGGTACAGGGCAGGGTTGGGGACATGGAGAGAACATTGGAGGTGAGGAAAATTAAAGGTTTGGCTTGTTCACCTCAGAGAAATAAAGGCTGGAAAGGGATATGATTCCCACCTATAAATACATGGGGGTGGGAGGATGTAGAACTGGGAGAAAGAACAAAAATAGCTATAAAGTGATCATGGACATGTTTAGGCTAAAAAAAAAGCCAGAACTAATTTTGGGAAATGTGCACTCGAGTGTTGGACTACCTCTGATAGAAGAAATTCAAGGAAAACAAACCCCAAACCATCTTATGGCAGAGCCTGACAGTCCTGTGAAGGATGAGAGGATCTGTGCCCAGGCAGGGGACTGCACAAATCCCCAAATTCCACACTGCTGCCACCAGAGAATGGTGCAAGGCTGCAGTGCTGACAGTGTGGAGTGTGCAGCAGCAAGTCCATTATAAATCAGGTGTTTGGCATTTGGAAGCCTCAGTTCCAAACAAATTCCATCCAAGATGAAACTCCACATCTTAAAACAACACTCTCTTCATTTGACTTAGAGGCTTATAAATTCAACAAGATTAAATAAATCATTTGGGTGATTTCAGGGTTTCCATTCCTGTGTAACTACAAACCAAGGAAATTTTAGGAGGGGAAAAAAAAAAGCCTCAGACAAACACAATAAATCTGTACTGCTCCATTATGCTGTTAAAAGTCTTCAGGGAGATTCAGATGAGAAATCTAATTGCAATAGACTCAGCAATATCATGAAAAAGGCAAGAGGGGTTTTCATATGTTCCAAGATGTTTCATATGCCACATCTTTTTAACAACAATGTCACTCTGAACCAGAAAATATAGTGAACTCTTTTTGCTAAGGCTCCATTTTAACTTTCTTCTGGAAGTAGGTAAGGAAAAAACTGTGATGTCTTCTTCTAGGAATAACCTTCACTGTTAAATCATGGAGAAATTCCTAAAGTGACTCTTTCTGTTCCAAGGGGAAAGCATAAATAATGATCCAAGACAAAAGCATCCAACAAACTGGCAAGTTTTATTGATCTTTCTTCAACTTCCCAGCATTCACAATTGCTTTGGAGGCCACATAAGAACTCTACTACGCTTTTCTGGGAAGAACTTTTTACCTCAGATCAATAGAAAGGTGGGGTTTTTTTCCTTGCTTTCAACTGCAGTCTGGAAGTGGAAAAGTTTGCTGGAGGAAGTGAAATACAAGCCAGGCTGACTGCACTGGAAGCAACCTGGGAAGCTGCACAAGATTAATTCATCCTAATTAGTCTCTCTCAGACTATTTATGATTATGAAAAAGGTGTTTGGAAACTGCCCCAACTGGGATAATTCTCCTCACAGACTCAGAATTATTTAGGTTGTGTAAAAGATCTCCAAGATCACCAACTCCAACCCCATTATCCAGTATAGAACACCACTAAGGTCTAGATTATGCATTCCAAGTCTAAGACAGCATTTTTCCTGCTTGTTTTGGTTTTTTTTCCTGAAGCTGGAGATGGGTTAGAAAAAGCCAAGGCAAATCAATTGATGTATCTGCTCCCTGAACAGACAGCCTGCAAGATAAATAAAACATGGACAAAAGAGAAGGATAAAAACAGGAAAACATTCAGCCTGCTGTCCATCATGTTCAGGCATTCTCAGGATGACAGGACACAAAAGCAGCTTCCACAAATTCTCTTCATGTAAACTTATTTGCATGTAAATGATAAAATAACTTGTACATTATAGGAGATATTTAGGTAGGAACACTTAATTGAGAGTTTATCCAACCACTTTAATAATTCATTTCCCAATGCAAAACACATGCAGAGAAGAATAAAGAGAATTCTGGCAAGCAGGGCTTGGGCACACACAAATCTCATTATAGTAATAAATCAGAATTTGGAATTCTAAAATAGGCTTTTTTGGGGGGCTGAAATAAAAGAATGGAGGAAATAGGCATAAGCTGCTGAAATATGCTGCTTTTCCCACCCTTGTGGCAGTCAAATCTGATTCTCTGAAACTGTGGAAAAGCTGTAAGGAACCAATGAATTCACTGAACTTCACACAAGCAGAATCACCAGTTTCCTTCTTCCCAAGGACCTCTTGGAATTTTTTGGAACCCTGGATGCTGAGAATATTAAACTTTCTGTGCTGAAAAGCACTGACCCCCAAGAGAACACTGCATTTGACCTGAGGCTGTGGAGAAGCTTCCAAAATGGAATGACAGAATTGTGGGTGGGAGTTTGGATAGAAGTGTGTGATATCACAGGGTGGAAAACTTAAGAGTTTGGGATTTTAGAATATAGAAATAAATATTAAGCAAGATGGAGGTTTTAGGGTGGAGACAGGCTGTTCTTTATCTTCTTCCTCCTTCTTCATGGGTTTGGGTGATGTTTTGTAATTGGACAGAAAAGTCCTCATTGAGGGCTACAAGTGATCAGTTATTGGGTTAGAAGGGAAAATAATTTAGGTGTCAGTTCTTAATTGGACAGTTTAGCCTTAAAAGATCTTTACCAAGAGACAGTTGGCCATTTTGTGCCTTGCTAATGAAGGACTGCAGAACTCCCTGCTGTGAAACTGTAACATTGATAAGAAATAACAAACACCTGAGTCTGAACATGAACTATTGCCTCAAGTGCCTTCATTTCCAATCCCAAGAGAGGCAGAAAAAGGAAGCAGAGAACCCACAGGAACTGAGCAAAACATGATGGAATTCCTGTGAGCCCCACCAGCACAATTTGCTCCCTGCAGCCATTTCCTACCAAGAGAAATCAAAACAATCTGGACTTCAAAACCATCCCTACACCTCTGGTCCAGAGCCATTCCTCTTCACTGGTTACATCACAGCTTTTCAAACCAGAGGCACCCAAAACCTGGCAGATTCCACCCTGCAGGGCTTTCTGCTTCCAAACACAACCTGTGTCATCACTACCACCACATCTTCTAAATTTAATCTGCTTCTGCTCACATGAACAAGGACGCAGGAACTCACACCAATGTTGTGACCAACAGAAGACACTTCCCTCAGACTGGCTTTTCCCAGGAAATACTTTCAGGCAAGGAATATTTCTGTTGGATTTTTTCATGTCTCAGGTCATAGACTTCAAGGTGCACTGCCCACTTACAGACTTGAGCCCTAAGGAATAACTTGGATTTTGCTGGGATTATTTTATTTGGTTCCATTTTGGGTAATCCATGACTCCAGAGTGACTCATTTATAAATCCTGAAGGCATGAAATGTGGGTATTGTGGAGGTGGTTTTTAGCTTGTTTGGGGGTTTTCTCTTGTGTTTTTCTTTGATTCTTCCATTGTTGGTATTCTGCTGTTCTGCACAGAATGCTTGAACTCAGTCAAACTCCGAAATAAACTCAATACCAAATCATTTAAGTCCATTGAGAAATGCCAAGTATTAAGCTATAAACCTAGAAATAAGACTGTGCAGTTAAAAGAATCAAAACACCAAGTTATTGAAAGAGGGTACCAGGTCCCACATCCCCACTGAACCACAAAAAGCTTCAATTCACATATAGCAGAAATACAAATATGAAGCCTTAGATCAATAACAACAGTGACCAAGTGACCACTGTGAAACAGCTCCTTCTAGATCTGGCTGAAAGAGCAATTCAGGTCATTTTAATCAATGTTTCTGACAAAAGAGATTCCTGACTAGTCATTCTCACTACTAATTCTAACAAAACTAAATTAGAGAAAATAAAAATGAATGGGATGTAATGGCCTGTGTTTCTAAAACTCACTTATCTCCCATTAGGTTCATCCCCTGAAGCACAAGTTTTCAAACCTGTTTGATGGATTGTTTAAATGCAAAATGATTTCAAAGTGATTTAATAACAATAATAACAGATATTTGCATCCCATGCCAGCCCCCTCCTCACCTTGTCCACGTGTGGGTGCCAGTACTCATCATGTGTTGTCTTGGCTCCTGTGCTGTTCATCCTGGAGAAGAAGGTTGGCTTGGTCAGGTACATGGCAGAAGAGCTGATCCCAAACACCTGAGCAATCCTCTGCTGAATCCTCTGCCTCACATCCCTGCAGAGAACACACAGGGTGTCAGTGACACCTCCTCCTGCTGCTCCTGAGCTCTTCATCACTCACTGCTCCTTCCTCAGCTGAGAAAAATGGAACATACAGCCACAGCTGAGTGTGCCTTGAGAAGGGAAGAGAGGAGAGAGAGGAGAGAGACAGAAGAGGAGAGAAAAGGAAGGAGAAGAGAAGAGAAGAGGAAGGAGAAGAGAAAAGGAAGGAGAAAAGGAAGGAGAAGAGGAGAGAAAAGGAAGGAGAAGAGAAAAGGAGAGAAAAGGAAGGAGGAGAGGAGAGGAGAGGAGAGGAGAGGAGAGGAGAGGAGAGGAGAGGAGAGGAGAGGAGAGGAGAGGAGAGGAGAGGAGAGGAGAGGAGAGGAGAGGAGAGGAGAGGAGAGGAGAGGAGAGGAGAGGAGAGGAGAGGAGAGGAGAGGAGAGGAGAGGAGAGGAGAGGAGAGGAGAGGAGAGGAGAGGAGAGGAGAGGAGAGGAGAAGAAGAGAGAGGGAGAAGAGAGAGAAAAGAGAGAGAAAAGAGAGAGAAAAGAGAGAGAAAAGACAGAAAAGAGAGAGGGAAAAGAGAGAGAGAAAAGAGAAAGAAGAGAGAGAGAAGAGAGAGGGAAAAGACAGAAAATAGAGAGAAGAGAGAGGGAAAAGAGAGAGAAAAGAGAGAGAGAAAAGATAGAGAGAAAGAGAGAGAGAAAAGAAAGAGAGAAAAGAAAGAGAGAAAAGAAAGAGAGAAAAGAAAGAGAGAAAAGAAAGAGAGAAAAGAAAGAGAGAAAAGAAAGAGAGAAAAGAGAGAGAGAGAAAAGAGAGAGAGAGAAAAGAGAGAGAGAGAAAAGAGAGAGAGAGAAAAGAGAGAGAGAGGAAAGAGAGAGAGAGGAAAGAGAGAGAGAGGAAAGAGAGAGAGGAAAGAGAGAAAGAAAAAAGAGAGAGAAAAGAGAGAGAGGGAAAAGAGAGAGAAGGGACCTCCTCCAGGGGTTTTGGTTGGAGTTTGTTTCTTTGGGGTTTTTTTAATTGTCAGAATATCAAGGAATACAAACTTTGTCTCCTGTGGCCTAGGTTTGAAAATTTCTGTCTGTTTTCCTGAGTAATTCCACACCTATCCCACTGTTTGTTAACTGCTGGAAACATTAAGGGCTTTCACAGAGATATTCTTAACCCAAAGCAGGTAAAAGTAAAGTTGTACCTTCACAAAAGGATTGCCTCTGAAGAACCTTTAATTACTTTTAAACCAACTGGTGAAGTCCCTGTCACCATGAAATTCAGGGCTCTTGGTCAACATATGTATTGGTATTATTACCAGATTTTTTTACATGAATGCAAGATGTCTTTCAAAATTATACAATTACAGTGTATAAACAAGATAATGTGAGAAAACACATTTCTGAAGTTGTGCATGGAATTATATTAGTAGGTTTGTATCTTCCAGTGCATTTCTCCACTCAGCATAACTTTCAAGAAGTTTTTCCCAGGTATTTCTCTAGGGAACTAAAATGGTGACTAAAAAGAAGTGGCAGAATTAAAACAAGACCTGTGGTGTGTGTCTATAGGCTGTGAAAGTCATCTCTTAAAATCCACAAGTACTAAAAAATGCTAAGTAATATTCATATTATTTATGATATATAATTATTAATATTATTAATTAATTTATGATATATAAATATTCATTCTGTTCACAACTAGTCCCTCACAAGAAATAGAAATAACACGCACAGATTTGATTTTCTAACCTGCCTCACTTTACATTTTTAGAGGTCAATTCAAGCTATTTTACATGTGAAATATAAAAAGTATCAAATGAAGTCAGAGGGATTTTCAGGGATATATATGACTGCAAGAGCAGAGGTTTCCAGTTCAGAGCTACATAGTGGAGTTGGCAAAAGGAAGGAACCCACAGCTCCTTCCTCTCATGCTGTGGGAGGCTGATCCTGCTGTCTGCTCTTTCCAAGAAGCAGGATGCAGGAAAGGCTCTCAGAAAGCATTAAATGCAATTATTCATGTTGTGAATGGAGAGCTTTGAACAATGCAGCTGAAGAATTCCCAGCCACGAAGAGCAGAGCAGCTGATTCCCTGGCCCCTGCAGCAGCCAGGAATAAATAAATCCCCTCCCAAGCCACAGTCTTGACATAACTAAATCTGCTCCAGTTGTGCTGCTCTGCAAAGAGTCCTCCCTCTTCTTTCAGCATGATTCATTTTTCACTTTTAAAAGCTTTCTGTTAAGGTTTGCTGTCTGGTGTTTCTAAGGCTCTGTTAAAGCTTCTCTCCTCTTGGAGACTGATGTGCAATGCTTTGGGCACAATGTGTGTTTTACAAACCAAACAGGATGCAAAGCCCTACTCAATATGCCAAATACAGCTTTGAAAAGTAGAATAAGGTCACTTTTTAGCCTAGAAAAATCCTTCTGTACAGTCTGTTTTCTGCTGGCCAGGCCATTTCAACATTTATCAATATCATGACTGCAGGTTTTCATTCCATTCCCTGCCCTGCTCTTCCAAACACAAACTACTGGCAAAATACTTCAGGACAAAAGCATTGTCCTTCATGTGTAAACCAAGAGACAAGAGAAGCCAAATTTCAGCTCAGAAGAAAGGAATGAATGAGCCCAGAACTTGGAGAGCCACGTTGTCCCCTCAGCCTCTGTGACCCAGAAGCAGCAGGAGCCTCCCTTCCCTCACTGCTCCTGGCTCTTCACAACTCTTGGGACAGTTCTGGTCAACTATGGCTACAAAGAAAATATTTCTTCATGCTGGAGAAGCATTTATTTCCATAAGCACAGCAACTCTTATCTCCTTCAGGCTGCTGAGGTGTGCCCTGGCTCTGAGCAGATGCAGTAACAGAGCTCTGCAGGGGCAAGAAATGCTCAGGAACAGCCTCCAGTCAACAGCATCAAATTAATGCTCCCCCACATCTGTCAGCAGCAGTCCTTGTCCATTTGCACTGAGTCACTGGGAAATACCAAAAGACAGAGCAGAACTCCCTGAGAGGAGCACATGAGCACCAGATTCTCTAAAAACAGATGTCACACACATGTTTTATGAAAAATCCTTGCCTTAGGATTTTTTCTCCTGAGAAACTGAGAGGCCTCAGGAACAAAATGCAAACAATGGTTATCTGCTGCTGTGGAATGCAACAGGTGCATCTGGGATTGGCCTCATGTGGTTGTTTCTAATTAATGGCCAATCACAGCCCAGCTGTCCAGACTCTCTGGTCAGTCACAAACCTTTGTTATCATTCTTTCTTTTTCTATTCTTAGCCAGCCTTCTGATGAAATCCTTTCTTCTATTCTTTTAGCATAGTTTTAATATAATATATATCATAAAATAATAAATCAAGCCTTCTGAAACATGGAGTCAGATCCTCATCTCTTCCCTCATCCTAAGACCCCTGTGAGCACCACCACAATCAGTCACTGTTTTGAGTTAGGGGAGAAATAAATTTTTGATGAGGAAGAAAATTTAAAAAAAGCCAGTGAAGTAGCTGGAAGTCCAAGGAACACACAACTTGAAAGAAAGGAAGTTTGCAGCTTGCAAAGCTGCCAGTTTAATGCAGCAGCAGAGAGAGCTGAAAGTGCCACTGAAAAGTTTCTGTGAGCCACAGGCTCTGCCAGACCAACCCAAAAAAATGCAGGCAGGAGCCACTGCAAAGTGTGACTCAGCCAGGGTGACAGGAACACTCAAAGCTCAATCCACACAACTCCTGATGATCCCACTGCTCAGCACTGCCCAGGGAGCTGACAGAGCAAAGGGCTCCTGCAGCCAGAGAGTTCCACAGCAATCACACACCCAACAGACACTGACAGCAAAGGCACAGCTCCTCCCCTGCTCCTCCTTCTCTGCCTTCATTAGCTGTCAGGTTTGGGGAATAAATCTTCTGATTGTGCTCTTTTCTGCTCAACTCACCCCTTCCAGCAAACACCCTGATTAAAGGTCTCCCTTCTGAATAAACATTTCATTTATTATGTGGAACAAGAGGGATTGCTGTAATGTGCTTGGCAGATGGTGGTTAAAGCATCAGCCTAGAAACCATAATTGAGTCTGAAGCAATGTAATTTTGACAGAGACAGTTCAGAAATCAGGCCCCTGGCTCAGGATGCCTTCTCAGCTTTGTTATTATTGCAGTCAGTAATACTTAGACATGAATTACACTCAGTTATTTCTCCCAAGAGTGTATTGTTAAAGTGACCTTGGTAGGGAAGGGGAAGTAATGAAGATAAATGCTCCCAAAAACAGCATAAAATCATTCATTAAGGCCATAAAGTACTATAGTCCATGCTAAAGCACTGCCATTAATAGGAACAGAAGCATTTAATAATATATTTTGTATTAGCTTCACATCCAGTAGACTGAAATATCCCCTATACTGCCATGAAATCCCAATGGAATATTGACATTCCCTAGCAGCTGCCTCATCTCACAGCATGAAGTTATAAAATTATTGAAAAATTGAATGCTTCTGTTCATGTAAAACAGAAATTATACCTTTTCTTTATGCATTTTCTTATGCAAAGTTCAATAATAATCAAGGAATTACTGTTTAAACAATAGTTTAAACATTTTCTTTATGCAAGGTTCAATGATAATCAAGGAAACATCTAATTTTTTCCATTATTGGGATCAGAAGTAAAAACATTTTAAAGAAGTTCATCTATAAAGACAATGACATCTAAAAACCGCTGTTAAATAAAAATAAGCTTAAAGTGATTAATATTTTAAGATTATATTAATTAATTACTATTTTAATAAAACTAATCAACCCATTTGGCTACTTAACATTCCTTCCACCACTAGAGGGAGATCAGATTCCTTCACACAGGCAAAAAAAAAAACCATACAAAAAAAAGAGTTCAATATTCAAATCAGGGACATTTTAAATTATGAGAAACCAACTGAAATGCATAACCAAGGAATTATTGTGTCTAGTCTTGTTCCTAAACTCTGGCCACACACCTTCCCAGCCACATGGAACTCATTAGTTTTGTTGTGTTTGTTAAGTGCATGAGCAGGGCTGCAGGAAAGCTGGGAGCATCAGATGCCAGAGCTGTTCCATTCAGAGTTATTTCATCCTCTGGCTGCTTCTCCAGCCAGAACATGAATAATCTCAAGTCCTTCCACTTCCTGCTTTACCATTTTTAATGTTTTGCTACACTCTGCCTCAAAAAAACCCCAAGTTCCTGATGTAATACTAGCCCAGAATTGTGTCTATCATCTCACAGAACCCTTGGGTAACATGTGGAAGAGGAGGTAATGAGGATTTTCCATCCCAAATCCCCACAGAGCTCAGAGAGCAGCTCTTCTTGCTGGGAGGGAGGGAAATGTGTGCTGCTGCCATCACCCTAAATGCATTCACACCATGAAACTGTCCTGAGGTGGCTGATGTTGTTTATCAGTCACCAAAAAATCCTTTTACTTCTCTAAATTATTGAGATATTACTATTTTGAGCTGCAAAATCCAGTGTAGGAATGCAAAGGGCAATCCCTTCTCAGCCTGCACTCCACAAAAAACTCAAAACCATAACAAGTTCTGGTTTGTGGCTCATTCAGCAATTATTGCAAACCTTTACCTGTATAAGGCAAAATCCTCTTCTGTGAAGATGTCTTGAATTTTGTCCCCAAAGTACCTGAAAAGTTAAACAACAGTCTGAAAGAGGAGTTGCTGGATCATACTGAGCAATAACAAGAAAACTCCTTACACCCAACCAAAAAGTGAGGACACAACACACAAAAAAAAATCTTACAAATGTTTTTGAGCATGATGTCCAAAAAAGATCAAATGTTAAAAGATTAAAGGATTGAAATGCTGCAAGTGGTAATGGCATTTTCCTCAGGCATTAAAAAAATCCCCTCCCACATCATGAAATAAGCACAGGGATTCAAGTTTTTAATGGTTCAGGCTATTTGATTTCTTCCACTGCTGAATAAACTAAACTATAACTGTGAAAAAATGCTATGATTAACCAGTACAAGAACATAAAAATAAAGATAATGGCACTTTTCAAAGTGCCCAGTTCAATAAAAGATGCTTTTTCATGCCAGGAAAGCTCTTTAACTGGTCATGGAAACTGTGGTGGATGCAAGCAAGTTCCATAATTTCTCATCACTAATCCCAGCCCAGGGGCTGGAGAAGAGGCAGTGGGCAGGGAAGGGATGGGATGACAGCAGGCAGGAAGCCACAGCCTCATTTTACCTGTACAGATTAACAAAATGCTTCCCCAGGGAAAGAGCTCCAGAGTGCAAGTCCAAAATTGATGCCTGGAAAAGGAAACAAAGAAAGAAAAATGAGCACAAAAATGTTTTAGCATTATTTAACTATGACCTTTAATAACTGTCCCAAGCTGCCTCTCACTTTTCACAGCCTCCCTAGTAAAAGCAGCTTCAAGCCTTTGGGTTCACAATACAAGATTTATTTTACAACTAGAAACCTCCCTCAGATCCCTGCAGAGATGCAGAGATTGGTAAGGTATTATAAAAAAAAAGCTCAGAACTGCTATTTCTGAGATTCAGATCTGACAGGGAAGTGCCAGCCTCCCCCCATGGGCTGAGAGTAAATCACTCTGCTCCAGGATCCCTTCTTGAACACATTTCCACACACATTTTCCAGTATTTGTGTGCTCAAGTAGCAGCACTAATATTTATCTTGCCCTGCATTTGTTATTAAAACTTCTCCTTCACCACAAGATCCTGTATACTTCTCATATTTAATACAGACATTAAAAAGTCTGTTTAAAAGTACAATTAGAATTCCAAGGCTTACTAGGACCAAACTTTCTTTTCCTCAATTTCTAAGCTGCCATAAAAGAAAACCACATAGAGAAAAGCTTTTTCACAAAGGAAAATTCAATCCATTTCTTCATCCAATTCAAGCCAAACTCTTCTGCTGAGCTCCCAACAAGCTGCAAAAAAGTGTCACAGACATCTTTTATGGAAAATCCTTTCCTTAGGATTTTTCCTCTTGAGAAGCTGAGAGGCCTCAGGAACAAAATGTAACCAATGATTATCTGCTGCTGTGGAATGCAACAGGTGCATCTGGGATTGGGCTCATGTGGTTGTTTCTAATTAATGGCCAATCACAGCCCAGCTGGCTCAGACTCTCTGGTCAGTCACAAGATTTTCTTATCATTCCATTCCTTTTCTATTCTTAGCCAGCCTTCTGATGAAATCCTTTCTTCTATTCTTTTAGTATAGTTTAATATAATATATATCATAAAATAATAAATCAGCCTTCTGAAACATGGAGTCAGATCCTGGTCTCTTCCCTCATCCTCAGACCCCTGTGAACATCACCACAGATTAGCATTCAGATTTGCCAGAAGAGAGGATTCTAAAATGTTTCTCTAAATTGAATAAAATACATTTTTGTATGTCCCTTGCTGTCCACAAAACACCTGTTTGTTCTGCATCAGTTCTAAAGCATTTAAAAATAGAACTAATAGAAGTCTTTTTGTTATTTATACTGGAAATTTTTCAAAGAGCACCAGTTAATTAACCTGACTGGCACTGAAGTAATGACAGCTCTGATGTCAATATCTGGGCACTCATCTTGGAATTTGCCATTGTTTGGATGCACCACAGACCATTCACATCCTTCTGACAAAATCCCAGCAGTAACAGCAGTGGTGACAGGGGAACACACTCATCACAGTCCCTTAGAAAATCTCTGCAGCCTCACTTGCTCTGTGCAGGGGAACCCTACTAACTGTTATTAGAAGAGATAATAATAACTTTTGTTTTAACAAACTTACACAAATAACCTTATTTACCCCTTGAAAAATACATCAAGTAGCAAGTTACTGGAGTGGACACAGCATGAGCTCTTCAGATCTGCCCTTCCCACTGCTCTCCAAAAGCTTCAGAGGAACAACCTCACACTCAGGCAAGAGCAGCTCTGGTATCAAGCTTTACTCAAGCTTCAGAAGCAAAATACTTTCATCTATTTGTTTCTGGTTCTGTACAAAAATCTAAAGCACAGTTAAAAGAAGTAAAGCTGCTCCTGTGTAGCTTCAAAGATATGTTTGTGACCATATTAGATTATATGAAGCAGCACAACACAGCTGAGAAGATTAATTTAATTTAAAAACTAATTGCCTTTCCAACTCTTTCCACATGCTTCTCTTACACATTTCTTCTCACTCCCCAAACTCCAGTTGGTTACAGTTTGGAAGAAGTGGACTGGACTGAAGTGTTCACACCAGCAGGGGTGACATGCAGAAAAATATCAGGGGAGGGAAGAATTACAAAATCATAGGAGATTAAAAAGGTTAATATCATTATCTATACAAAGAAGAAAAAAGCTGAGGCAAACATCAAGAAAACGAATTCAATTCCCATTCTGTGAATAAGGAACAGAGTATAAAACTTCTTGAGTATAAAACTTCTTTACAGAGCCAGATGTAGAAGGGAAAGCAGCTTCCTGGTGGAGCAGATATTCCTGTTTGGATTCTGCAGGAAGTTAGACCAGATGACCATGGCCCCTCTAGCTTCACTCTGTGTGTCTCTGCATGAAGAAATATAAACCCAGGAAAAATTACAAAGGAAGGTAAGAAAGCTCAGCCTGACAACTGGGGCGTGACCCCAGGGAGGCTTCAATAATTCAGATGTTGGTCAAGACTTTCTCAACATAAAAAGATGGAATTGGAAGCAAGTTTTGGTGCTGTGCTCCAGTACTCCAGGGAAGGGCAGCAAACAAAGGGAGGAGAGAATAAACAAAGTCACAAACTGCAAGTTTACACCTTTAAATAAATAAATTATATCTAGGCACACAGATACAAATCCACTTCTGAGAATTCAAAATATAACAACTATGACAGGAAAAAAAAAAACCCAAAAAACCCCCAGACATGCTGCTTACAAAGGGGTTAAGAGGAAACCCCAGGCAATGAAAATGCAGCCTGAATCCCAACAGAAAAGTCCAAGTTTTATTGTCCAAGTTTTATTTTGACTAGCAAAGAGAACAAAGTGGCTAAAGTAAGAATTAAAAATCATTCAACAGCAACAGTAATTTTGAGGTATTTTAAAGGAAGAATTAGTCTTACAACAGGCATAATTGGACAGAATCATCCAAATAATCTAAAGCCAAAGAAATTTGCAGCAACAAGCCAGATCTACTGCAAGTGGCTGGAAGCTTGGGAGCACACAGATATGGATGGGGTAAGGATTGAAATATTCTTTATGCTGGGTGGGTGAGAGACTGGAAAAGATGAAAGGCTCCAACAAAGACAGTTCCATCCAAAGCCCAGCAGGATCCAATGGTATCTGAGAGAGCCAAGAGAGCACTGCCAAGAAAAGATTTGTACCATGGCACCAGGAATATGGGCTGGCACATGGGGAAAGGAAGAGGAAAAAGGCAGGACAGGAATAAAAGAATCTGGGTAAGGAGAGTGTATTTAAAATCATAGTAAAAATATTATTTAAAATATATTAAAATATTATTTAAAGTGTGTTCAAAATATTATTTAAAATATGTTCAAAATATTAGAAACTGGGTAACGAGAGTATATTTAAAATAAAGTTAAAAATGTGGTTTAAAATATATTAAAATATTAGAAACTGGGTAAGGAGAGTGTATTTAAAATATTAAAGATATTATTTGAAATATAGTAAAAATTTTAGAAACTGGGTAAGGAGAGTGTATTTTAAATAATATTAAAAATATTATTTAAAATATAGTAAAAATATTAAAAACTGGGTAAGAAGAGTGTATTTTAAATATTAAAAATATTATTTTAAATATAGTAAAAATATTAAAAACTGGGTAAGAAGAGTGTATTTTAAATATTAAAAATATGATTTTAAATATATTTAGAATATTAGAAACTGGGTAAGGAGAGTGTATTTAAAATAATATTAAAATATGATTTGAAATATAGTAAAAATATTAAAAACTGGGTAAGAAGAGTGTATTTAAAATCATATTAAAATGTGATTTGAAATATATTCAAAATATTAGAAACTGGGTAAGAAGAGTGTATTTTAAATATTAAAAATATGATATTAAATATATTTAGAATATTAGAAACTGGGTAAGGAGAGTGTATTTAAAATAATATTAAAATATGATTTGAAATATAGTAAAAATATTAGAAACTGGGTAAGGAGAGTGTATTTTAAATAATATTAAAAATATTATTTAAAATATAGTAAAAATATTACAAACTGGGTAAGGAGAGTATATTTTAAATATTAAAAATATGATTTAAAATATAGTAAAAATATTAGAAACTGGGTAAGGAGAGTGTATTTTAAATATTAAAAATATGATTTTAAATATATTCAGAATATTAGAAACTGGGTAAGAAGAGTGTATTTAAAATATTAAAAATATGATTTTAAATATATTCAGAATATTAGAAACTGGGTAAGGACAGTGTATTTAAAATCATATTAAAATGTGATTTGAAATATATTCAAAATATTAGAAACTGGGTAAGGAGAGTGTATTTTAAATAATTTTAAAATTGTATTCTCCTGAATACCATTTTTCCCTGTGAGAGCAGTGAGGCCCTGGCACAGGTGCCCAGAGCAGCTGGGGCTGTCCCTGGGTCCTGGCAGTGCCCAAGGCCAGGCTGGACAGGGCTGGGAGCACCTGGGACAGGGGGAGGTGTCCCTGCCATGGCAGGGGTGGCACTGGGGGGGATTTAAGGTCCCTCCCAGCCCAAACCATTCCATGACTCTCACCATTTCCCAGAAGCTCAGCTCTCCTTTCTAACATCTTTCAGTTTTTATCCATTCTTTTGGTGAAGTGCTCACACCTTCCTCATGATCCTCTCCCTGAGGATGAGGAACTCCCTCACATTTACAGATGATGAGACATGGGAGAAGGCTGGGCTCAGAGCCCACACCTCTCCACACACATCAGATTTTTAACAGATTTATTTCATTGCAGTGAGAGAGAAGCAGATATTTCTTGGTTTATATTTTTTTACACATCTTTCTCAGCAATCACAAGGACAATAAATTCTATTTTCTTCCACTGAAAACCTTTTATTGCTAATATATGTCCTAATTCAGCAGAGGCCCACAGGAGTGGCTCTGAGAGTTCCTGTTGACACACAAAAACATTCTGAGCACAAAGATGGGGGAAGGAAATTAAAATGAATGTGCTCGTTAAAGAGAAGTGGGATTCTTTCAAAATATTTTCTTTTAAAGAATATTATTCCAAGGGCTACTTAAGACATTACATGGTTTTCTAATCCAATAAAACCAATCTTTACATGATGCTGTGAACCACTGTAATTTACTTTCAGAAGATAAACTTTTACAGTTCTACTCTAGCAACTGTTTCCAGTTGCCATAGTAGAACTGTAGAAGACAAAACCAGAACTGACGAAGACACAAACAGGTGCTAGAAATAATTAAATACAAGGAAATGTATTCTGCATTGCAGAAATCAGGACTTACACTGCAATAATGAGAAATAACTTTCCAAATCAACTATTTTCCAAGTCTGAACAGACAGAAAAAATCTCCATCTCCTCACCTCAGCCCCAAAAAATGCATTTATAATCTTGCCTTGGCAGTAAAAGAATGTAGAAAATAACAGGACACTGCTCACCCCTCCATCAGATCCTCCCAAGGACAGTCCCCTCTCTGCTATTCTGCAGGCAAAACAACAATCTCAGGTGAGAACTGGAGTGTGATTAATTTGTCCTTTCATGTCCTTATTTACAACGTGTAACTCCCCAGAGAGTGGGATTTGATGCATCAGGTAGAACCCAACTGAGTTAACAGCAGCTCCAATTTTTTGGAAACTGAACCTTCCAGCCTGTCACGAAAATGAAATATTTGTGTTGCAGAACATTTCTGAGCTTGCAGCTCCCTTCCACAAATCCCAAAAATACCCTAAAACCAGCCCCTTCAGAGAGGACTGCTGGGGATTACCCAGACAGACACACAGAGCTGCAATAAGGCTCACATTGTTTTGTTTTTGTTCTGCTTTTAAGGGCCAAATGGAGGCCAGGTGAAAATCCTTTAAAATTTATTTAATTCATTTTCCTTTCTTTCTGGGAAGTGCTCGTGCCCCTCAGAGCCAGGCAGATTCTGTGTGAAAGAACTGCCCCCACTACAGTAAAAATGGAAAATGGCTTTAGTCACAAAAATTTCACTTTTTATTGGGTCTAAACCATCCTGCTCACCCATCCTACCCCTCAGATTGGCACAATGTCATTGAAATCAGTGGTTTTAAAATTACCTACGAATTCTTTCAGCTTCTTCCCTTGTGATTACAGCATCTGTCACACCTCTTCCACACTTCCTAGGAGTGCAACCTGCAACACAAAGAGGAGGGAAAGAACCCATTGAAACCACTTCAGCCACCTGAAGGGCAGGTTTTCAAATGAGGCTTTGCAAAAAAGTCTCTCTTGAAGCCACTCTTGAAGCACACAGCTTGGATATATAAAGTTTGAAAAGCCTCCTAAAATTCACTGCTAAGAAATCTAACATGAAATTTTAAAAGCTCCTGGGAATAACAAGCCAGCAGCAGGAGTTCCAGGTGAAGAATATATGAAAGTTCTTTTAAGTCTGGTTGACAACAATCTTCAGGCAAGAAGAAGAAGAAATAAAATCAGTTCTGAGCCTCCAGAGACCTTGGGATGTTACATTTGGCACTTTTCTGAGGAAGATCCATTTAGAGATGGAAAGCCCGAGGAGAGAGGGGCTGAGTGTGGTTTCTCAGTGCTCCTGAACTGAGTGTCACCTCAAGGATTATTTATTCATCAGAACACAAAATTCCTGGAAAGAAATCCATCAGTTCACCCATGGAGGACAAAAGCATCACTGGTGCTCTGATAAAAGGCAGCTCATAAGAATCAACAGGCTGATGGGAGAAGTTCTGCCAGGAATTTTGCAGGAATTTCCATTTCCTATCACTGGATATACCCCAGCTGTGTCTCAGGTGGGCTTGCAGGGAAAGCTGATTTTCAAGTAGAGAAGAATAAACTCAAAGGAGAAATTCAATACTCCAGGACAAACCTGGCTATTGAGAGCTTCCTTTCTGCAACATTCTGCAAAGATTTCTGATCTCAGACAAGATTTGTTCCTTTTCCAGCTGCAAATATCCAGGCTTGGTAAAACTACAGGGTTACCTCAGGCAATTGTTACATGTCTGGGGTCTCTGAGAGTGAGCTGGAAGCAGGAGGTGCTCTAAAAGCAACAGCACAAACATTGCCAAATGGAAAAAAAACTCCAACAAACAGAAAAATGTGGCCCAGCATAAAAACAGTTAGGTACCAAGAGTACAGCACAAACACTGGGTGAATGCTCTGGAAAAATCAGAAGAGCCTGCTTGAAAATGGTTTCAGCAGTAAGGAAAATCAGAAGAGTCTGCTTGGAAATGGTTTCAGCAGTAAGGAAAATCAGAAGAGTCTGTTTGGAAATGGTTTCAGCAGTAAGGAAAATCAGAAGAGTCTGCTTGGAAATGGTTTCAGCAGTAAGGAAAATCAGAAGAGTCTGCTTGGAAATGGTTTCAGCAGTAAGGAAAGTGTTCTCTCTGTCTCAGAGACCATGGTACACGTGAGCAAGGAAGAGTCAAAGGCAAACCTGGAGAATCTCAGGAGAAATTCAGATTAGTACTGCAGGTACCTGGTAGCTTCCACAAATTTGTGCCCAGTAGACACAAACCCATCCCTTTATCTCAGTTATAACCCTTTCTTTCAGTTCCTCTCAAGGTACTGAGAAAAAAGTGATTTTTAGAGTTATGGCATTTCCCCAGCTGCCACTAACTCAAGATGAGCTTGGTTTGTTGACTATCTCTAGAAAAAAAATATTGCTTTTTTTGAGAAGTATGGCATAAGGTAACCTGGTATACCACTTTGCTCTTAATTTTCATTACATTTTATATTCTGAATGAATTAATGGTTCCAATTCCCCTCTTGCAAAAGAGAGGTTCCAGTTCAGTTTGTAGTAGCAGAATTGCCTGTGCTTGCTGAGATATTAATTGTTCTTGGTTTTCTTTAATATTGTTATAGTGTCCAGAGAAATTGTAAAAAGTGGGTGCTATATAGGAAAATCTTGTACTTGCAAGAAAAGGGAGAAGAAAAATGGTGTGATTTGAAAACCTTTATCTGACAAGGCACCATCAGCTCTGGCTACCAGGTAAATCGAGGTAAAGAGAAACATACCAAAACATGTAAAACACGAGTAAAACAAGTAAACACGAGTAAAACACGAGTAAAACATGAGTAAAACACGAGTAAAACACGAGTAAAACACTGCCACTGGGCCCTGCTCCCATTCAGCACAAAACCCAGAATTTTATTTGGTATGAAGTTTATTTACAGGCAGGCAGTGCTAAGGGAATAAATCCTGCTCTGACACCAGCTACCAAATCACTTGAAGCAAACTGGAAGCTCAGCTGCACCAAGTTCAGCTGGAAGCAGGGACAGGTGCATAAATAAAAAGCTCATTTTAGCTGTGGAAACTTCACAGCTGAGCATCAGACACTGAGTGGTGACAGGAATGTGCCTCCTCCTGACACAGAGCCCACAGCTGAGGGTGCCAAACCAGGCTAAAGACTGAGAATGAAGAGCTATTGAGTGACAGAAACCTATTTCCAAGTGCCTAAAGCTGCTGAGCTGATCCATAATCCACATTTTCTGCCTGGCTGGGCTGTGGGGAACACACAGAACTCCTCCACAGCTCATCACCACCCTCTCGTGGGAAAATTATCACAGCTCAGCTTTAATTAACCAATTAACAGCTGGATCCTCAAAAGTACAGTCACAACATAGATAAAATTAAATTTAAATAAATAAATAAATAAATGATTTTTATATTTTTTTTAAATTTAAAATTAAATTTTAAAAAAAACTCAAACCAAAAAAAAAAACCCTACAAAAACATAAATAAAAACCCAAATAAACCACAGAACTTAAGCAGCAGCACCAAGCAAACACCTAATTAGAAAGGGGAGTCAATTATCCCCACACAAAGCCAAGAGGTGAGACCTCACCCTGCAGTCAGCATTTGCTGCTGCTCCCCAGACACCTCCAAAAATAAAGAATACATTCATTGCTGGAGAGATGTGCTTCAAGTTCCTGCCTTCCTGCCAGAGAAAAGAATAGGATGAAAAAGAAGGAATAGAAAGAAAACAATGAAAAGCATAACTGGTGGGATGGCCCAGACCAGAAGCTCAAAAAAATTGCTCTTGCAACCCTGGGAAGGGAAAAGTAAAGTTTTGTTGGTCTGGGGGGGGTTTCTTTTGTAAGCAAACACTGCAGTAGAAGAATCCAGAGACTTTTAGCCCCAGTTCAGTTATAACCAAATCACCAGCTGCAGTTTTCTCTGGCCTTGCACTACACAAATTCACCCAGCAGCAGTTTCCCCTTATAGTAACTATGAAAAGTTAACACAGAACATGTTCTCATGTCAGAAAAAACCCCAAAACATTACCTTACCAGAAGTTTTTTTGTTGGTAGCTCCTGCCATCAGTTTTCTTGGCCTAAATAACATTTGAGATGAATCCTCAAAAAAAAAGATGCTACAGTAGCAGCACTGAGGAAAAACTGTACGACCTCAAACTCCACATAAAATGTTCTCTTATGTTCCAAGTCTTTTTGACCAACAGCACCAGGACCAGCCACCTGGGGCTGCAATTTGTCAAACACTTTCTACCAGAACTAGCACAGGAGAAAGTTAAAAATTGCAGAATCACAGAAGAGCCTGGGAAAGGACCTTTAAACATCATCTGGTTCAGCTTTTTGTGGTCCAGAGAGCCTGATAAGATTACACAGCACAGTGCTCAGTGCTGAAACCCTCAGTCAGAGGAGGTTGGTCCAGTGACTGAGTGCTCTGTCTGTAATTTCTTTTTATATCAAGATGAAATCTCGCCCAATGCAACCTGCACCCACTGTGCCTTGTCTGCTCTGTGCAGCTCCTGACAAAGGCAGAGCTTGTGTCCTCTGTAGCTTCCCTTTAAGCACTGGAATAATGGGATTTGTTCTCCCTGAGCCTTTTCCAGGGAAAGGAGACTCAGCTCCCTGAGGTTTTCCTGACAGGATGGGTTCTCTAGCCCTTTGATCACCTTTGTTCTTCCTCAGCTCACAGCAGTTTCTTCCAGCCTCCAGCTTTGTGTCAGCATTTTCTCAGCCACATCATGAAGCAGACACAATCACCAATTTGGCTAAAAACCAACTCAGAAGTTTTTTTAGGTTGTTTTTTCAGATTCAACAGTTTATCAGTCAACACACAGCCAGACATACTGACAAAAACCAAGAGCAGAGCTGGTCTCTGGCAGCTGTACCAACTGAAAATGTTCATCACAACACACTCTGCAAATCTGAAAGAGAAAATCAGCACTGCTCATCCATGGAAGCTGCAAGTCAAAATCTCACTGCTCTTTGTCAGAGAAGATTAAAATCTTCCGTGTCTCTTGAAGAACCGACCTCAACACTTCAAAGAAATACGTGCCAGGGGGAAATGGTATCAATTTGACAGAAAATTGGCTCAGCAGAAAGACACAAAGACAGAAAAGTGCTTTGCAGGCACCCCCCAAAGCCACTGGCAGACACAGATCTCAGAACAAGTGTCAAAAGCTGGCACTTGTGCAGTCACGACATGGGGGTGGCACAATGTCCTGCATCAGTGCCACTCCATGCTCTGTACGGTCCTGAGCAGCAGGAACCAACAGAGTATGGAACAAACCAGAAACAGACTTGGCAGAAGGTTTATTTCACAGAACCCTTGCAAAGCAGTTTCAGAAGGGGGAAAAAACCTCTCAGAATCAACTGGAAGCTCAGTTGCACCAAGTTCAGCGGGCCCGAGGGGCACGAACGTTTGGAGCTTTAGGCAAGAGACGGTGACCAGGAGTTTGCTGCAAACACGGGAGTTTTGCAGCCCGAGTTTGGTGCCCAGGCAGCGGCCAAGCTGCTCCTGCCCCCCCGAGCCCTGCCCAGGTACCTGCAAAGCGCTTGTGGCTCTCGTAGTCCTCCGAGCAGGGCACCTCCACGAACTTGTCCTGCAGGGTGTCACTGCGATGGGCCAGCACCTCGGTGACCTCATCTGCGGGGATTCCACCCTCGGGGACCCCCTCTGCGGGGATTCCATCCCCGGGGATCTCATCCGGGATCCCATCCTGGGTGCTGAGGCGGCTCCAGAGCACGAGGCCGCCGCCGGCCACGGCGGAGAGGAGGAGGAGGAGGATCGCTGCCTTCAGCCACCTTGGCCGGGGATCCTGCTGCAATCTGCCCTTCCTGGCGCTGCGGAGGGAGCACAGAACGGGCCCGTGAGCGGGGAGGGACGGACCGGGCCGATACCGGGGAGCCCCGGGCCCGCGGGACCCCGGTTCGGAGCAGAACACGCGTTACGGACACACACGGTTCTCTCCCGGGACCCCGGTTCGGAGCAGAACACGCGTTACGGACACACACGGTTCTCTCCCGGGACCCCGGTTCGGAGCAGAACACGCGTTACAGACACACACGGTTCTCTCCCGGGACCCCGGTTCGGAGCACACCACACGCGTTACAGACACACACGGTTCTCTCCCGGGACCCCGGTTCGGAGCACACCACACGCGTTACAAACACGCGGATCGCTCCCGGGCCCGGCGCTGCACGACTGCCTCCGCACCAGGGCACCCCCGGCAGGCGCAGCGCCGCCGGGCCTGGCGGTAAGAGGTGAGGGCCAGGGCCCCGCGCTGGTACCTGCTGTGCCGGCGGCCCCCGCGGCCCGGCCCCGGCCCCGGTCCGGCGCTGTCGGGGCCGCGGGGCAGCGCCCGCCGCTGCGGAGCCATCGCGCCTCGCCTCCTGCGCCTCGAGCGATGCGCTCGGCGCGCCTCGCCCTGGCCTGCCGGCCTGCCTGACAGGGGACCGCGCTCGGCTGCCGAGAGAGAGTGCGAGGATCCAGCGCAGAGCCGGGAGCGGCGGAGGGGCGGCACCGGGACAGGGGGACGAGGGGACAGCGGGACAACGGCACACCGGGACAGCAGGGCGCGCAGCCGGGACAGCGGGGCAGGGACAGCGGGGTGCGGCCGGGAGGGGTGTGCAGGGACGCCGCGGCGACAGGCCTAAGCAATCGAGGCCAGAGCATGTGGCGGCGCCTGGTGCACCTGGACCTGAAGGGCGCCGCGCCGCGCGCGCAGTACCTGGAGCAGGTGAGGGGTGAACGTGAGGGAGGTGAGGGGTGAACCTGGGGCAGGTGAGGGGTGAACGTGAGGGATGTGCCTGGGGCAGGTGAGGGGTGTACCTGAGGGAGATGAGGGGTGTACCTGAGGGAGATGAGGGGTGAATCTGAGGGAGATGAGGGGTGAACCTGGTGTAGGTGAGGGATGGATCTGGCACAAGTAAGGGATGCATTGGGCTCAGGTGAGGGGTACACCTGGTGGGGTGAAGGATGTCCCCGGCACAGGTGAGGGATGTATTGAGCTCAGGTGAGGGATACACCTGCTGCAGGTGACAGGGGCACAGGGTGGTGGCACTGCTCACAGCCCAGCTGCATCCCCTGTGTCCCCTCCCTCAGGTGCTGCCGCTGCTCCGTACCCTGGGTGCCACCGGGCTGCTGCTGGAATATGAGGACACCTTCCCGTACACGGGGCCGCTGGAGCTGCTGCAGGCCCCCCACGCCTACAGGTAGCTGTGGGTGCCCCGCAGGCAGCCCTGGGTGTTGCAGGTGCCCCGGGCCATGCCCAGCAGGCACTGATAGGTCGTTTTCCTGCAGCCCTGAGGAGCTCCAGGCGCTGCTGAGCTGGGCACGGGCACAGGGCCTGGATGTGGTGCCACTGGTGCAGAGCTTCGGGCACATGGAGGTGAGCTGGGTGAGAGGGGTGTGCCGAGCCAGCAGTGCCTGAGGGGACAGCAAGGCTGGTGGGGTCTCGGGGTGCAGTAGGAAGAGCATTGGCAGCAGGGCAGGGAGTGATCCTGCCCCTCTGCTCAGTTCCTGGACATCTGGAGCAGTGTGTCCAGTTCTGGGCAGAAACCATGGCCAGAAAGTGTCACCTGGACATGAGGAAGAACTTTTTCCCTGTGTAGTGACCAGACCCCGAGCAGGTTGGAATATCCCCAGTGAGGGAGACTCCACACCCACTCTGGACACAGCCCTGGCCCTGCTGGAGCAGGGAGGTGGGACCAGATGAGCCCCTGTGCTCCCTTCCAGCCTGACCCATTCTGGGATTCTCTGCTGGAATTTTCCAATCCAAGTCCCAGTGCTCTGGTTATCCAGCTCTGCCAGCTGCAGGGTTTGACATCAGGGCCACACTGCAGTGACCTCCCCGTTTCCTTCACCCACCCTGTGAGGTGCTTCATGGCCAGAGACCCCCCAGCAGCGTGGAGCAGCAGCTGTGCCCCCAGCCTGTCCCTGGGTTTAGCAGGACACCTGCCCTCAGAGCCCTGGGGACAGGAGGAGGGTGCTGTGCCTGGTGTGGTGGCTGTCCCCCAGCTCCCTTTCCCTTGCAGTTTGTGCTGAAGCACAGGCAGTTTGCCCATCTGCGGGAGGTGAAGGAGCTGCCCAACGCCCTGAACCCGCACAAGGAGGAGTCCCTGGCGCTGGTGAAAGCCATGATTGACCAGGTCATGGCCCTGCACCAGGACCTGCAGTGGTTTCACATCGGATGTGATGAGGTGGGGCTTCTCTGGAGCTGGCAATGTTTCTTTTCTTTTGAGGAATCATAGCAAGGGCTGAGCCTTCTGCATCTCAGTGGTGCCCAGGCCATGTTTGGGTGGGATTTTGGGGACAGAAAACACCATTTGAGCCAGTGTAGAAAAGCCTTTTTGCCAATAAATTATTCCAGTAGCACAGGTTGTCATTTCCACAGATACAAGTGTAATATCAAAGTATTGAAAGCAGCTTCTTGAAGCTAACAGTGTTTGGGTTTAGTGAATGTTTGAAGTGAGATATCAATTAGAGCTGCTCTTTAGGAATCCTGTAAGTTTGGTGTAAGATGTGCTCATTGTTTTGGGCAAGTTACTCAAAGTAAACACTTCTGTGGTTGGGAGTGTTGGGTTTTTTACCTTGGTAGTTTGTCTCATAGAGAAGCTTGAATTTTTTCCTTCTCATTCTCATAGTTTCTTAAAACCATGCTGATGGTACACAGATTCCTGGAATTCATTATGACCACTGTACTGATACCAGTTTAGTGTTTTGTATCCTGTTGTGTTGAAACTGGTGGGAAGGCTAGAACAGGGAGCTGTTATAAAGCAAAATAACTATTTATGTAGAATAAATAAAACCTGCTCTAAACCAGCAAATTTTAATTCACTCTCTGCATGGGACCAAGTATGCTGGGCCACCCTTGGACATGGCCCCAGGCTGCTTCTAGGCTCACATTTGGATGATCTTGCCCAAGATAGGAACCTCATTTTATCCACCTCAGGTCCTGATGGATTTGAAGTGAATAAATGTGGTGGGAGCTATTTCTAGGACAAACACTCCAAAGGCAAATATGGCATAGAGATATTTTAGTTTCTGTAGGAAAATTCCCTCAAGTGATGCATGTAATCATGGCCATAATCTCCTGCAGACTGATGGAAATGCTTGCAGTGTTCTCAGCCCTGAGAGGTGCTTTGGAATGTGTCCACTCAGTGGGTCACATCTGGACAAAGGTTGGAACATTGTCTACCTCACTTTCTCTATTTCTGTGCAACAAGTCAGGATGATTTGCTTGGTGTTTCAGGTCTACTACCTTGGTGAAGGAGAGGAGTCAAAGCAGTGGCTGCAGCAGCAGAACAACACTCCAGAGAAGCTCTGCTTGTCCCACATAAAAGCAGTTGCCACTTGTTTGGCCTGGTCCTACCCCATGGTGACACCCATCGTGTGGGACGACATGCTCAGGGGGATGAGTGAGGAAACACTGGCAGGTGTGTGACCAGGTTTGCACAGGTAAAACAGATTGGCTGGCAGCTGAATGGCATGAAAACAACAAATCTGGCAAGAGCTGAGGTGTGGTTTGTTTGACTAGAGAATAGAAGCACTCAGTCCTTGGCTGTCACAGAGTTCCTGTGTGAGTGTGGGCCAGTCTGAACACTTCAGTTTTCCATCACAAAATGCTCACCCTGCAGTGGCTGCCATCAATTCTACTTTCCTTATACATTAAAACAACAACCAGCATTAAAACACATGAAAACAAAACAACAACCTGTTAACATCTGTGGTCCAAGTCTAAATCTCTGTGCCTCTCACCACCTTCTGATGTTCATTGTGCCCTTTGCAGCACCTGATCCCAAGTGATGTAAACTCACACAGAGGAGCTGCAGCTCTGTGAGCATCTTTGTGATCATGGTGCAAATTGTGAGGAGTTTGATACTGAATTGTGGGGCAGCTCCAAGACCTCACAAGTCTTGTTTGTGGAAAAATATCAAAGCACTGCTAAAATTGGAGTAGTCTGAGCACAGATGGAGCTCCAGCATTTTCAGAGCCAACCTTACATGGCTGCTGTAAACAGATTTAAATGGTACCAGGAAGAGCTGTGCAGCTCCTCTAACAGTGACTGACCTATTCAAGGCTTTGATAGAGGGAAATCATCCCCAAAAATGCAGATGGGACCCATGGAGTTTCCACCAGAACAGTATAGCACTCTAAGTGCACTCTACTGCCACAATAACAAAACAAACAAAAATGTGATGGAGTTAAAATACTGAATTTCTGCACATTTTACTGCAGTTTCTCCAAGGTCAGTTTTGCATGTTTAAAACCAGCTGAGGAGTTGATTATAAAATGAGTTAAAGCTAAATTTCTATCTTTAGTTGTACTTGAAAAGCTGTGTTTTGTGCAAACACAGCCCAGGCACTCTGTAAGTCAAAGGGTGAATGTTACATTTGAATTTAGCTAAATCTCCTCTGTGGCTCTGCCAGTGGAATCCAGCTGGTAACAGAGAGATGCAAGGAGCTAAAAACGAGGTGGGCTTGGGCTGAGTGGGGTCTCTGATAAATTGTCACTGCTCCTCCATGTTAATGGTTTCACCATGCCTGAGGACAGTGGCCCTGGGCATGTGCCAAACCCTGGCCAGGCTGAAAATGCCCTGGGGCACTTCAGCTGTCAGTGACAAGCCTTGGTTGTAGTAACCTGTGCTTTGTTCTCATTTAAGCACCTTTTCTCCATGGTTTACAAGAGCTCTGTTCCTTTCAGAGTCCGGGGTCCCACAGCTGGTGCAGCCCATGATCTGGGACTATGCAACAGACATCAACGTGGAGGGCAAAGGTTTGTACTTCTCTGCTGAGCTCTGTGGAAGTAAAATAGCCAAGAAGAAGAAGGAGAAAGGCTGGACACGCCCAGTTCCCTCCATCTTGCCTCCTGAACCCCCATACCAAAAACCCCAAAATCTACTTCTCCACCCCGTGATAACTTCACTATTATTCTACCTAAACTGTTGTGGCTTGCTGATCTTCATCTAAGGTTGGTAATTTGCTCCAGGGTCATAATCAAACCCCCAGGTGTTATGGGCTCTGTGCCAGGGTCTCTGAGCCCCCTGGCAGGGGTCCTGGCCGTTCTGGACAGCCAGAGGGATGTGCTGGGTTCCCACAGACAGCCACCCAAAAGGCTGCTCAGAGAGGGTGCCAATCCCCCATCCCTGCTGATGCTCCAAGCCTGGAAGGGCTGAGCATTCTGTTGGACCTGGAGCTGTGTTCCCCTTCCCTGCAGCCTTGCAGTCAGGGCTGGAACTGGAGGAAGCTCCTCCTGTGCCTGTCCCTTTGTGTGTCCCTGCAGTGCAGCTCATCGAGAAGTACCGCAGGTGTGGCTTCTCCAAGGTGTGGTTTGCAAGTGCCTTCAAGGGAGCCACGGGAGCAAACCAGTCTCTGACCC